CAGTGCAGAGAAGCGATAAAGGAAGACCTCAGAGAAGAGCAGCAGTGCTGGCAGATGCGGTAGCTGGGAAAAGCATTCACAACGCCCACCTGTCCTTCGCCAACTATAAGACCAAGATGACTCCCCTCCAACATCCTGATGGATCTCTCACATCTTCCAGAAGGGCAATGGAGAAGATTATCAATGACTTCTACTCGGATCTCATCGATAACCATGTCCACCTGCCCACATACCAAATTCCGCAGGATGGATATGTCATTCTCAACGTTCTCCCTTCCGAAATCCGACACAGCATTTCATTGGTAAAGAAGAAAACAGCACCCGGCCCAGACAAGGTCAGACATGAACACCTGAAGAACCTGCCATCAGTACTCATCAATACACTGGCTCGGCTCTTTACATGCTACCTGTCTAAATGCAAGGGTTCGTCCTAGTGGAAAACCAGCAGGACTGTACTACTGTACAAGAAAGGAGACATCCACGATATTGGCAACTATCGCCCAATCTGCCTGTTGTCTGTCGTCTGCAAGCTGTTCACCTGAGTCATCCTGAATAGGATTGGCAGAACACTAGATGAAAGACAACCATGCGAGCAAGCTGGGTTCTGCAAAGGATTCAGCATAATTGACCATATCTACACGATAACCAAGCTCATTGAGGTTTCTTGGGAGATCAAGATGCCGCTCTGTCTAATGTTCATTGATTTAAAGAAGGCCTTTGATTCTGTTGAGACTGAAGTGGTCATCGAAGCCCTAGCCAAACAGGGCGTTCAAACTCAATACATCAGGATCCTCATGAGCTGTATTACGGATTGACTACCAGGATCTCGCCATTCTACAAGGAAGTGATCATCCATGTCAAGAAAGGGGCTCAGCAGGGAGATACCTTTCACCGAAACTCTTCAGTGCCACCCTCAAGAACGCCATGCGACAACTGGAATGGGAAGGAATGGGAGTGAAGACAGACGGCCGGAAACTACACCACTTCTGCTTCACTGATGACATCATTCTAATAACACCAAACATTAGCCAAGCGGCACAAATGGTGTCTGTGGAAAGGTCAGACTACAGCTGAATCTCATGAAGACAATGTTTATGAGAAATGGTCTCGTTCCTGACGTTCCATTCGCTCTCAACACAACAAACATCTCTGAATGCAACAGTTATGTGTACCTAGGTCAAGAAGTCAACATGATGAATGACCTGGCACCTGAGTTGCACAGGAGGAAGAGAACGACTTGGAACACCTTCAAGAGCATCAAAGAAATAGCTAAAAGGATGAAGATCCTCTGGCTCCAAACACATCTCTTCAATTCCACTGTTCTTCCTGCATTAACATATGCCTCAGAGACCTGGGACCTATGAAACAGGATGAGAACGCTATTCGGGTCTCCCAAAGAGGAATCAAAAGAGCTATGCTTGGAGTATCACGTTTCACTTAAATGAGAGAAAGAATCCGAAATTCTGACCTCTGTCGACGATCAAGAATCAGGGATGCTGTCTGGTTTGCCAAGGTGTCGAAAATCAGATGGGCTGGACACGTAATGAGATTTAGGGATGACCACTGGACTAGAGCCATTACTGACTGGATTCCATGGGACATCAAAAGATCGCTTGGCCGCCCACCTACGAGATGGTCAGACTTCTTCGTAAAGACCCTGAACAATCAGTTTGAGGCTCTTTGTGTTCCTAGAACAAGCAGACACCATCGGGCTACACTAGCACACAACAGGGATGAATGGAGATGTTACTGACGCTCGCTTGAGCAAATTGATGGGTAACAGAATGTCAAGTGATCAAGTGATCAAGGATCTAGGCTAAGTTGCTTGCTTTGATTTCAATTTTCTATTTAATTTCTTCTTTACCACTTCTTTCATCTATGCTAATTCTATTTAGAATTTGTATTTGGAGTTTCAGATTATTCAATGAAGGGAGAGGTACCTGAACCTAGACCTGCTGGGTGCAAATGGTGGAATGGTAAAATTTACCAAGAGAGTGAGACAGTTTATTGAAGTCAGTTTATTGAAAGAGAATACACTGGTGAGACAGTATAGTCAGATCTAGAAAGGGAGTGAGTTGTATATAAAATGTTCTGAGCCAGTCATAAGAAGGGGATAAGAGGTATATAAAATAATTTCAGCCTGTCCTGGGAAAAATGTGGGTAGAACAATTCTGAGAACTGAGCAGCAGGGTGGCCTCTGGACTCCCAAAAGCACAGCTGACTGCTAAGCCTCTCAGGCCTTTTAGATAAGGAACTTAAAATAGGTAACTTCTTGGGTGGGGGGGGATGCTGGGACCCGTGCTGATGGATGACGGACACTGGTGGAGGGATGGGCACTTGATCATTGTGTAACTGAAACCCAAGCACAAAATTTGTAAGCCTATAACTGTACCTCATGGTGTTTCACTAATAAAAAAAGAAAAAAGAAAAAAATAAATAAAATAGGTAACTTCTTATAGGGGGCTTTTGCTTCACTCAATATGGTAAAAAATATTAAATCTAAGACTCTTAAGATTAAATATAATATTTGACATAAACATACTATTTTATATGCAAATATTTGAGTTCTTAGAAAATTGTATGTATATCAGATTTTATAAATTTAAAACATTTCCATGTGGGAGAATTGTATTTAAAAGGTAAGAAATAAGAAAGATATAATGAATACTCACTTTGGGGGCTGGAGTGAAAATGCAGCAGGTAGGGCACTTACCTTGCACACAGCTGACCCAGGTTTGATCCCTGGCATCCCATATGCTCCCCTGAGCACTGCTGAAAGTAGTTCCTGAGTGCAAAGCTAGGAGTAATCCCTGAGCATTGTAACTAGCTATGGTTCCTAACCCAGAATAAATAAATTAAAATGAATACTCTTCACATTTATAAAACTTAAGATTTTATATATAGTAAAATTGCTTGAATCACCCAGCATGTATGAGTGTATACACACACATCATTTTCTTTGTCAGTTGAACAATATGTTTTATTGAGCACCAGTCAATTGTGTTTACTAATCATAAGCAGTGATTATATCTACTTGACTGTAAAAGTTTACCATGCAGGAATAACAAGCCAATGCTGGCTTGATCCGCAGCACCACACATGGCCCTGGAGCCTGACCAGGAGTGATCCCAGAGTACAGAGCCAGAAGTTCTGAACGCTGCTGGATATGGCCCCAGAACCAAAAATAAAAAACATGAAAATAAAAATTCTCTATTGGGACTGGAGCAATAGCTTAACAGACTGAGTGCGAGCTTTGTATCCAGGAGGTCTGGATTTGATCTCTGACCCTGGTTTTGCATGATCTCCTGAATACTGCTGGGAGAACAGAGTCAGGAGCACTGCTGGATATGACACCAAAACAAACACAAAGTTCTCTATAGGAACAGGAGAGCTAGGACAGTAGGTAAAGTACTTGCTTTCCACATGACACATAGCTGACCTGTGTTTAATACCTGGCGCCGTATATGGGTCCTTTAGCAGTAATGGCCTCCAAAAGCCAAAAATAGTACTCAACAAGAAATAGGATAGTTAAAAATCAATGATCAAAATAGTGTAGTCTGTGTTCTGATCTTCTCACTCTAGCAGATGGCTCTGTCATTGCCTACCCTCCCCTTTCTTCTGAGCTAAGGCGGTAAGGGAAGCTGCTTTTCCTACTGTTCCTGTGGTATGATTGTACTCCATATCATCTTCTCGTCCTGACTCACTGAACCCAGTTAATTTTAACAGAGGGAACCCCAAACAAGGGTAACCCATCCTTTTCCTAAAGGGGTATCTGTTACTTGGCTGGTGCTACAGGTGCTGCTCAAAGGTAATAGTTTTGAGATGAGATAAATTCTTTTCAGGAGTTTTCTACATTTCGACATAGGAAAACCAGATGGTGAGAGAGCCTGTGCTGGGAGGTAGATGTTCCTGGCCGTCTCTATTCTGCAAGTGAATTTTTCTAAGAAGTCGAAGAGAAGAGCACTGAGAGTTCAAGAGCAGAAAAGGTACAGGATGTACATATGCATATGAGAGAATTTATATGGAAGGGAAAGCTACATTTCCTCATGGTTTCTTTTCCCTGTGGATGGTCTGGTTTTCTTGACTGTCCTAAGTGTCCTACCTAGTGTGATCATTACCAACTCTGTGCATTAGTGTAAGTTGATACTTGATACTTTACTTCTCCCCACTTAAAGTCATCTTTTATTTTTTATTTATTTTATTGAATCACCATGAGATAGTTACAAGTTTTTATGTTTGGGTTACAATCACACAATGATCAAACACCCATCCCTCCGCCAGTGCACTCTCCCCACCACCAGTCTCTCCAGTATACCCCTCTTCTCCCCTCTCCCCCTGCCTCCATTACTGTCACTGTCACTGTCCTCCTGTTGTTCATCAATTTGTTCGAGCGGGCCCAGTAATGTCTCCATTTTGACACTTGTTACTGTGTTTGGCATATCAAATACGTCACGGGTAGCTTGCCAGGCTTTGCCATGTGGGCGAGATACTTCGGTAGCTTGCTGGGGTCTTCGAGAGGGGTAGAGGAATTGAACCTGGGTCAGCCGGGTTGGCCATGTGCAAGGCAAACACCCTACCCACTGTGTATAGCTCCAGCCCCCTGCCTCCATGGCAGATGATATTCCCCATACTCTCTGTTAAAGTCATCTTGAATATTACCACCAGGATGGGGTTCCTTAAAATCTGCTCTGATCTTGTCATTTGTATGACCAGAAATCATTAATGGTTACCAGAATGGTTACCAGAAATGGTTACCAGAAATCATAATGGTTACCAGAATTCATTAATGGTTACCATTGATTTCACTGATAAAGTCAAGACATTTTTTTCTAAAATAACGAAGTTTATTTAATTTAGTTTATTTAATTTAGGGATCTCAGGTCATGGTGAAAAATCACTGATTCTGTTGCCCTAATCATTTGTCTTTAGGAGTTTTACTGGGATTATCAACTGACCTGTAAACCTTAGACCATTTGTCATAGAAGGGAACAGAAATGATTCTGAGAAGACTTTCAGGGATCATGTCTATGGTTCATTACTAGAGAAGTTTCTCTGATCATGCAGAGCACCTGAAACCATGAGGAACCAGAGCATCCTCTCCTGACATGAGGCCAGTTTTAGGTGTTGCTTTTGCAACTGCCTTTTACCATTGATGATTGCTCTGCTCTTCCAAGGAAAGGAAAGGGAAGGGGAAGGGGAAGGGGAAGGAGGAGGGATGGGGAGAGGAGGGAAAGGAAGGGAAGAGAAGGAAGGAAAGGGAAAAGGAAAAGGAAAGGCTCTGAGGCAGACCCAGAAGCTGCTGGAGACGGTCTATGTGTGATGAATGGGAGGGTGGGGCACTCTGGGACCCGTGTCCCTAGTGGGAGTCCTCTGGGAGGCGGCCTTCTCCATCCATCTTCTTAGCCCATTGACAGGCTGATGAGAGTTCTAGCTTGATGATGAGCCTGACAGCATGCCAAACTGTCCAGCAATCTTTTCTTTGGGTTTTAAATTCTAAACGTTTTTATTGATCTGAAAGAAACAGCCCGCTGAAGATCATTTAATATTTGCTTTGAAGACTTTGACCACCACCATGCCAACAGAAGTAACTTACAGTGTGGGTAGTTAAACTCGCATTCATTTGGGAATCTTTCTTTTTTTTTTAATTTAAAAATTTTTTAATTTATTTTTTAACATAGGAGTATTGCTATTTATTCAACCATTGATTAGGCTGATTGAATTGGGCATGAACTCCAGCTTACTTTTTTTTCTTTTTTTATAAATTTATTTATTGAATCACCATGAGAGCAGTTACAAAGCTTTTGGGTTTAAGTCTCAGTCATACAATGATGAAACACCTGTCCCTTCACCAGTGCCCATTCTACACCACCAAAAACCCCAGTATACCCCCAATCCCACACCCCCCACTGCCTGTGGGGCAGATGATTTCCACATTTCTCCCTACTTTGATTTCATTCAATATTTCAACCCCAGACCCACCATTATTATTTGGGATTTTACCCCAACACTCAGATCTGCTGAAAAAGCAACTGTAGACAATTTGTTTTCTGTTGCTGGTTATGAATAATTGGGAATCTTTCAAAGCCTGAGAAAGGTCTGAAATGCAATTATCCTTTTTGTTTGTTTGTTTTGTTTTGTTCTAGCTGTGCACAGGGCTTACTCTCAGCTCTGCACTCAGCGATCACTCCTGACAGGGCTCAGGAGACCAGATGTGGTTCCCGGGATCGAACCCAGGCAAGAGCCTTACACACTGTACTGTCTCTTCAGCCCTATAGTTATCCCTTCATAATGATTTTGCATTGTCTGTAGACTTCATTTTTTAATTTTATTTTTTATTCTGCAGCCACAACTGGTGGAGCTCAGGGGCTGTTCCTTGTTTTGTACTCAAAAGTGACCCATGACAGTTCTCAAGGGACCATATATGGTACTATGATCATACCACAATTGGCCGTGCAGTGCAAATGCCTTAAACCCTGTGCAGTCCCTCCAGTTCCTAGACTTTTTACTTCTGCCTCCCCCCCACCCCAGGCTATTAAATTTTCACTGTAGAATTTCATGTCTTTTATAACTTTTCCCCATATGTCTCCCATTCTTTCTCTAAAGGAATTCTCTTCTTCAGCCAAACTAGTCTGTTCATTCTCCTTTCTGCCCCCAACATGCCAGGCATATTTCTACCTCAATGTCTGCACATAGTTTTTACCCAGCCTGAATATCCTCTCCTATACCCATCTTACAAGGCCAACTTGAAACTTTTTTGTCCCAAACCAGACTAATGATAAATTATATAACAGCACCAATAATACTTTTAAAATAAGTGACTCATCTTCTTTACTGGCAGAAGAATTCTGCACTATGAATTTATTGTTTTCTTAGATTTGAACTTTTTGAAAATATATTAAACTTAAGAAATATCATATCAAAATATAGTTTCTGAAATCTTTTGAAATACCAGAGATCTGTCAACAAGGACTCACATTTTTGCAAACAACAAGCTGGCACTGGAAAACTGTTATCTCAGGAGATGGTACTTACATTCACTGCTTCATTCCGACCATTCCTCACTCACTCTTCTATTGCTCCTGCCTTCTTTGACTTTTTATATGGCTTTGTTGCTCCATAGGCAATTGAATTTAAGTTGGTGACTTAAATTCAAGAAAAATGGAAGGTCAGTCTTCTAAGAAGAAAAGAGAGGTTGATTAACAAGGTTCTTGATAATGTCTTAAGATCTAAGCAAGGTAATAATTAGAAAGAAAAACTCAAAGTAAGACTAGCTAATTTAATCAATGGAGTAGGTACCACGAAATTTTTTGGTATTAAATACAGTTTTTCTTCTTTTCTCATTAAATTTTCCTATATAAATATTAGTCGGGTAATAATAGTTGGTATTTGTTTAGCATTTTATATATTACCAAGAGTTTTATTTGTTTGGGGTCCACACCCAGTAGTTCTCAGGGCTTACTTCTGGCTCTGTACTCAGGAATCACTTCTGCTGAGGTGCTGGGGACCATATGAGGACCAGGAATTGAACCTGATTCAGCTGTATGCAAGGCAAGCGCCCTATCTGCTGTACTGTCTCCCCATCCCTACCAAATTCTTTTTGATATATTGCCTTATTTAAATTTCCTAAAAACTCTATAAAGTAGAATAGAATAGATGCAAAGTAAAGTTTCAGGCATTTTAGTGAATTACCCAAGTTTTAAGCAGTAGAATTAGAAGTACATTTGATATTTTCAGATTTTTGTCCTGAATTCCTTAATTTTATAGACTTTGACTCTTCCTTATCTTCCTATAAATGATCTCATCCTGCTTCTGGCATTGTACAGAAGACAGAGACAATGAAAATAAGTTCACAACAAGTTGGCAATAGTGTAATCATTAAAATAAATAAATTTTGCAACTAGTTTATCTTCTACCTATGATTCATTTGGTACTCTGCCTTCTTGAGTAAATTCTCTGGGAAGTGGCAAACAGTTTTCTCATGTCATTATGACATATCTACTGTAGATGTCCACTGTCACTGTTCTGCCATTTTCATCAATTTGCTCGAGCGGGCCCAGTAACGTCTCCATTTTGAGACTTGTTGTTACTGTTTTTGGTATATTGTATACGTCACAGGTAGCTTTCCAGGCTTTGCCGTGTGGGTGAGATACTCTCAGTAGCTTGCTGGGCTCTCCAAGAGTGGAGGAGGAATCAAACCAGGCTCAGCTGGACTGGCTGCATACAAGGCAAACACCCTACCACTGTGCTATTGCTGAAAAGATAAAATTTATTGATCTCTCCCTTCCCCCCCCCCCATTTTATTTTATTAAAACACTGTGAGTTACAAAGTTATTCATAGTTGGGAAAAATATTGATCTTGACTCTCTACATGATCAACACTCTGGAGTGGTGGAAGGGGATGCTGGGGATGAAAGGCAGGGCTTATATGCAAAGCATGCACTCTACTACTGAACTAAATCCCCCAGAAATTGCCTTTTAAAGTTGTTCAGTTTGTCTTTTTCCCTTCTTTCTTTCATTAGAATGTGAGTTCCTTAAAGGCCAAAAGTGTTTTGTTTTTAGCTGAATTCTCAGTATCTAACATGATCCATGAAAGGTATAAGACAATAAGTCATTGATTCCTAATTCACTGCCTTTGTATTATGGTCCTCTGGTTGCTTTTCTGACCTCCACTTTCTCCTTTGGGTCTGGCAGTGGTGGTGGTGAGCCTGTAAAAGAGTATAAACATTAACCCAGAGCTGCTTGGAGTTGAAACAATTATGCCTCTGTGTTAAAGTTAGGTGGCAAAAGGTGTTGTTGTTGTTGTTGTTGGTATGCTTTTTTTTCTCTCGATGATGCTTCTACTTTAACCTTTTATAACCAAACATACTCTTTTTGATGTTAGTTTTATCATGCATAGGAGTTACTCCCAGCTCTGTGCTTAAAGGTCTCTTAGCACTGCTTAGGGGGGCTCTGTAGTGCCAGTGATTGAACCCGGACCTCCTGTATGCAGAATGTGGGTTCAGCCTGTCAGTATTCTTTCAAAAAAATTTTTTTTGTTGTTTGCTTTTGGGCAGTGCTCAGGGCTAACTCTTGGCTCTGTTCTCAAGGATCACTCCTGGAGGGGGGTGGGGGGCACTCAGGGGATCATAGACTATCAGTACTTTTAAACCTTTAGTTCAGAGGTGCCATGTGTCAAAGTCTGACTGTATCAAGACGACATGGGGGTGGTTGGGAAGTGTTGCTTTATTAGATTGTGGTTGGAGGCAGGTTTTGGTGTAAGAAGTCAATAAAGAGTTTCATGACATTTTCAGTGAGTGAAAGACATAGACATGTTGGAACCAGTGATCAGCCTGTTTCCAAGAACAGAAAGCACAAGCATCTAGATGCTGAAAGGTTAGAAGGGCTTACTGTTCAGTTCTGAGACTTTGCCAATTCTCCGTAGTTGAGCCTGGCCTTTTCTGATTCCTAATTTGAATCCATGGGGTGGTCTTGTTGAATAAAGACATCTATTAAGAAGGGAAAAGAGAGCAAACAGTGTGACTGATCCGTGCAGGGGGAAGTCTGTTGAAAGCACAGAGCACTAAGGATGTTAGGTAACATTGCAAAAACATGCAGGAATTGGTTTAGGATTTGGAGCCTGAAGCACTCGGTGCTCTTCGCCAGTGTGAGAACTTTTTGTTTCTGCCGGACAATGTCAGGCCCCAGGAGCCTTTCACATGACTATTTGTCACCATTAAGTCTGTTTTGAAGAAAACAGAGCTGTTGGTTCGCATTAAGCAGAGCTCCTTATGAAGCACTGGCAGACAGGAAGTGTATAACAGGCTAGAGAGACATTTATCCAGATCCTATTTCCCTCAGCCAGTGCTGCCTCGTGTGGGCTTGTGTACTGTCTTGTTTAATATTTGTAACAACCCTTACAGGGTATTATTTTCCTGTTTCCTCTATGTGTAAATCAGGAATGAAGAAAACTGACTTCTTTTACCAGGATCACACAACTAACAATAGTGGAGCACAGATTAAAATCGTAATCATGTAATTTGCTGGCCAATAATTCCAGACCCTCAGTCAGTAATATGGCTTGAGGTTCCATGGGCAATGATGAAGAAGGCCATTTCTGATCTCTCTACAGAGAAAGAAGGAAACAGAGTAAAATGGTAGCAATTCCATATATATATATATATATACATATATATAGTATATAATGTACTTTTTTCTAATCCCCCTTTCAAAATGCTTTAGAT